AAAGAGTAAAAAAGACTTACTTAAAAACTGCAGTGATATACTATACTACTTTCCTTAAAGAATAAACCAAATTTTTTTTTAATTGCATAACCTATCAGTAGAAAATTTTGAGCATACTCTAAATACATATTTGTAAATTCTGTCTTACTATTGAACTAATAGACACTTAGGGGTTCTGATGGTTTAGTGGTAAGAAATTGTACTGCCAATTCAAAGGTACATGGTTCCAATCCACCGACTGCTCTGCAGGAAAAAAGATGGGCAACCTCCTCCCATGCAATTAACTCCTTCTGAGAATGTACTAGAGGGTCAGTATTGGTCAGTTCCATCTCAATGGTACACAGTAATAAGAGACACAATTAAATTTTTTTAAAAAATATCCTTTTTAAAGGAAGATATTTTAAACATAATATAAAGAAACATTTGTGGCTTCTCTTTGCATCTTAGTGAACATCTTTTCCACGTTCTGGGGAGTATGCTCCTCCTTCGTTAAAGTCCACTAAACTTTCTAACCTCATTTCTGCCCTATTTGAGCATTCCCTTTTCCTTCAAAATACTCTTGTGGTTTCCTGTGATTTGAGAAATCAACATCCTAGGGACTTCGGACAGTATTGTGAGAAAAGGTTAAAGGAAGTACCATGTGTGCTGGCCTCTATCCCATCTGAAATTTCAGGGGCACATATTTTAGATTACCTTCTGTGGATTATCATCAAATCTGTTTACTCAGCTTTGCATGAATCAGGGTCATCTGTGATAAGGGAAGCCCTACATTCAAAATGCTAAGGTTTTTTTCCACACTTGCACCAATAAATTGTTATTGTTTGTAAGAGAGGTAAATTACAGTAACATAGGTACAAAAGTCTTAGAACTGTATTTGCCTCATAAAAAATCATTTAGTCAGTAATTACTTAACAAGAAAATAAATTAGAAAAACTGTTAATCTCTCCTTCCAGTACTACACTGGGGAAAAGGCTTCATTGAAATTGTATTTGAAATAAACTACTTACGTGCCCCAATGTACTTTAATGGAGCAAGTTTTCTGCATCACACCGAACATCTGCATTTCTTCAGTATCATCAAAGTAGGAATTTTGAAGTCCCAACCCTTCAGGTTCAGTAAATAAGTCAATTTGACTAACTCTGTAATCCTGAAAAAATACATGTATACATTTGTGATATTAATCCCACTAAGTATTTAATTCCACAGTAAATTAATTTTTCTTTTTTGTGGCTAATTAAAATAAGCTTTAAATAGGCACATGCATTGCACAGAGGAACCTGCCAGTTTCTCCCTGACCTGTTTCCATTCGTGTGGCTCTTTCTGGGCAGACACATGTCTTTAGGCATACATCTCAGTGTCATATTCACAAAAAAATTAGAAACTTATTGTATTGTGTGTAGGAACTTATTTCTTTCTCTTTTGCCCTTGAAAAGCAATGCTTGGATTTCTGTGGTCACAGGAATTTAGGTTCATTTGCTCTGACAGACAATTCAAGGCCAGAGGCTCTAGTTTACATATAATCTTTTTCAACTTTGTTCTGTAGTAACTCTCCTTGACGATGACTAAATCTCTATGATGTTGATTTAGTCTAAGTTGTAAAGGCAAAGGCACACATTCAAAGTGATTTACAAATCTCTGCCCTTGAGTCATTCACCCATGCCCTACACTCTTCAAAAACCTTCTTAAATAGCTGGGAAGATTAAGAAAAAAGTTTTCTCTTGGCTGAGTGCCTAAGCATTAATCTAGTATCCATTGAACCTCTGCTATGTTGATGAGCTAATGAACTGAGGTTCTGAGGTCTAGAAAAAACACAGAACATAGATGCTTAGATCAGCTCAGAAAGACTCAAATATTACCAAAAGAAACAACTGCAATGGTGATCCTTTTGAATATATGTTATGACTCATGTTCATATTTCAAGATGAATATCAATTATCAACTAAGTCAATCAGAAGTGTTGACCTGGGAAGCAAGTAATGCTTTCCTCTGCCTCTGTGCTCATTCTTAATCATTCCCATTTTTGCATCTTCCTTTCTTCCCTATTGCATTCCAATTCCCATCTTAAAACAGACAAATATTCTGCAAAAGAATATTTATCATTTAAGATGAATTGCAAATTGATTTTCTCCAATCCTTTACTATGACACCATTCAGAAAAATTTATCCCAAGGAAATAAATCAGAAAATTGTTATTTAAAGTATAAAATATTAAGGCAGCATTATTTTAAAATTAGGAAAGAAAGAAAGAAAGGTAAAATACATGATGCTGTATCAGTTCAATGGGATATAATGGTTATGTAAATCTCAACCAACGCAGTGGCATGAAAAGCATTTCGCTCTGGTGGCCTAGTGCAAAAAGCAGTTTGGCAATAATACAGAAGGCACAAGTTCAAGTCCACCAGCTGCTTCATAAAAGAAGGACGGGCAATCTCCTCCTGTGCAATTAACTGCCTCTGTAAACCTGCCAGAGGGTCAGCTATTGGTCTACCCAACTCAGGGTACACAGCAATAATAACTGTCAAATGACACAGAACTCTTTAGCATTATGCTTTTTTTTTTTCTTTTACCCCTATCTAGTATGATACACCAAAACCAAAACTTAAATCCCAAAGGAATGAAACCAAATCTCAAAACACTTCCCAGATTCAGAGACTACCCCATTTGCAAATTATGGAAAGATGTTGTCAATGGGAGTGTGAACGTCAAGATAATGGTTGAGACTCACAGTGTCAAATGAAAAAAGTGGAACATCATTTTATTTATACTATGATTAAAACTACAGAAAAAGAAAATCTGAATATGGTCAAGAAAGGGTAAAGGACTGAGAAAATAAATTGAAAGACATTTTATGATAATTTGGTTTGGATCTTTATAAACATTCCTTTCTTTTTAATACCATAAATAAAATATTAAGTGAAATGTTTCACTAACTAGGACATTTGGAATTGGTTCCCATGTCTTACGTAAGGCATATCATATTAAGCGTTTAACATTTTTAAGACATTTAGAACATCAATTATCATCCAAGTCAATCAGATTCGTTGACTTAGGAAGCAAGTAATGTCTTTCTCTGCCAATATCAGTCACTCACGTATGCTCATTCTTAGCCATTCTCATTTCAGCATCATCCTTTCTTCCCTATTTCAGCTCCCATCTTAAACATCTAAGAACAAACTTCATTTTTCACTTAGAAAATAACACTAATCTCATTTATAGAAGCTTAAGAATCATTAAAACCCCAAGAACAATAAAGATTCTGACACATTTTCCATATCAATGAAATTTTATAAAATACATAAAACAACATCAGATACCTAATTTTAAAAACATATTTGGAGCCTCACAGTTGAATTACCAACAGAATTATTTTTGTATTATTATTTTTTTCCAAAAGAAATAGCTTTAAGCTACTCAAGATAAGCTACCTTATATCAACCATAAAATTGAGTAAGAAAAACTTGTTCATATAGCATTGATTAAAATTGGGTTATTTAAATAAAATGTCTTTGGGAGTTGCAGATGGGAGGCCCAGGTTTCTCATACAAAACCCAGCTAAGGATAAAACAGCAAAACAGCCCACCGTGGTGGTCAAGATTTTGATTACTCAAACATTGTTGCTAAGAGTCACAAGACATACTGTATCCCGATGACTAAAACTTTACTGAAAATAATAAAACCTCTGATAATTCAAGAACCATATTAGGATCTTAGAGAACTTTAGATTATTAGGATGTCAATGTATATAATTAATTTACTATAAGGATTTTATGATGAAAAAGTATACTCAACTCTAAAGAAATACTTAAAAGTATAGGAGGAAAAAACTCCCTAAGCTTCAACAAAAAAATATTTCTTCCCATCACTTACTTAGGGAACCCTGGTGGCTTAGTGGTAAGGAGATGCCCTGACACAGGCATGCAATTCAAATCCACTAATTGCTCCACTGGAGAGAGAGGGGCCATCTCTTCCTGTGTGATTACTTGCCTATGAAAACCCACTGGAGGGTCAACTATGGGGCATTTCTGACTTGATTGTACACAATGGCAACAACAACAACACGACTGACTTTTAAGGGTTTAAAATGAGCATTGCTCTTTAAATTAAGAATCGTCCCTGGAATTTAATAAATATTTGTGGAATGAATGAAGTTTGGTTTTATCATAACCTACCTGGACCACGTGTCTGATTGAACCAATCACCACAGGCTTGTCAGACTCTTTTTCATTATTTTCTTCCAGAATATCTTCTATACCCCAGAGTCCAGAGAGCTCCAAGTCTCCTTCCTCTAAGGGGATGGAGTGCCCTTCAAAATTTGGTTTCTCATACAAAATCCAGCTAAATATAAAACAGCAAAACAGTTAGCCCACCCTGGTGGTCAAGATTGTGATTACTCAGTCATTAAACATACTATATACTGATGACTAGGTTTTTTATCACTTAAAATAGTATAATCTCTCCTTAAAGGTAAAACTTAACTAAAAATAATAAAATCTTTGATAATTCAAGGACCATATTAGGATCTTAGAGAACTTTAGATTATCAATATGCAAATATAGCAAGAGTGGCATCCACTTCCTAAACAACATGCCTCTGGAAATTCTATGAACTTTGATAAATGTCAATAGTTATAGAAAGACTTCAGGTCTTTTGTTCATAGAGTCACTATGAATCATGCTCGACTCTATGGCAATTAACAACAAGAGCAGTATATGCGTGTGTGTGTGTGTGTGTGTGTGTATATCTCAACCTATTTACCTAGAGAACGGTGAGAGAGAGAAAGCAATCCATGGAACTAAAGATTTGTGGGTGGTAATACGACAGATAAATGGATTTTTACTGTAGTTTTTAAAAACTCTTTGTATTTATATGCTAGAAAATATTTCTTTCATATAGATTTGATTTTAACTTATATATCTATAGATTGTTATAAATGACTATAACATGTTAGCAAAAAACATTTTAAAAATCCAAACACTAAAGAAAAATCATATGTCAACATACTAAAATGTTTAAGTGCTTATGCTTTTAAGAAAAGTGGAGGCAACAAAATGTACAAAAGAAAGGAATAAGTATTATCCTGTTATAAACAAAAATATGGAGTTTGGTGCAATTTACAAAATCTTCAAAAGGAAGGAGAAAAAAGTAATTTTATGTTTTCCTAACTCAATACAAAATCCACTGCCATCAAAGGACAGAACAGAATGGCCCATGGGATTTTTAAGGCTAAAATCTTTACTGTAAATCTTTACAGAAGCGGATTGCCTTATCTTTTTTCCCCCCTCAGACTAGCTGGTGGGTTTGAATCATCAACCTTTTGGGGTAGTGGAATTCTTAACACCATCCCTTCAGGGCTCATTATCTTCTCTAAAGATTATATTTGTGTTGCTATGTACTGTTAAGTCAGAACTGACTCAGAGCTGACACTCTAGCAGGTTCTCAGAAGCAAGAAATCATAGCTTGTCAGTGGGGTCTTAGAGGCAATAAACTCCATGGGAAGAGACTGCCCATCTTTCTCCCAAAGAGCAGTTAGTGGATTTGAACCATGTACTTTTGGGTTGGGGCATACCTCTTTACTACTAGGCCACCAGAGCTCCCTTTTTGTAAAGATTATATTTACTATATAGTCAAAGTGTATTTGTTGTTCTTATTGTTGTGTTACCATCGAGTTAGAAATGACTCAGCTGATCCTCTGATGGGTTTTCAGAGGCAGTTAATCGCATGGGGGGAAAATAGTAAGAATACTACATAATTAACAAAAGCAAAGCTTAACTAATTTTTTAAACCATAAATATCTGTTGCTCCACCTTTCCATTTCAAATTTACAAAAAAGTACCAAAGATAAATATTTATGCCAGATGAGTGATTTTAAAAAGTATTATTTCTTTTTATTCATTGTTGCACACTTTCTTCTCCTCTTTTCCCCTCCCCCAGTCCACCATACAATGCACCCCTTTTTCCAGATTGTTCTCATACATCTAATGCATAATCATATATTTCTTTAGGAAAAATGAGTGATTTTTTAAAATTGCATTTCTATAATTAACTTCCTGTGTATCTCCTGGAAGCAATTATTTTGCTAAAACAATTTAGAATCTGGCAACATATTCATATTTTCAATACTTTCTTAATCAAAACTAACTTCTGTAGAAAGAAAATGAAAATGTTAGAATAGTCTCTGACTAACTGTAATTAGGACGGACTCAGATCCGCCCTTCATAGGGTCTCTAGAAGTCGTGCTCAACCCATTGGCACCTAAAAACAACAACATTTGTAATTTAAAAGTTAAAAATGTTTTTCCTTATAGATTAAAAATAAAAGATACATTTGCACTATCAGCATGACTAGTAAGAATTCTTACCAACTTAATTTAAAATCCATAAACCCAAAACGTATTACGTATGCTGTGACTTATTATTGGGTCAAAACAATGCTATAGAGATATTTATGAGAAAAATAAGCTATTGTTTCAACTTTTTTACTTTTTTACAGCATGTAGAAACAAGTATCACCCTTATAATTTAAAGCAAGATGAAAACCCATGTTTTACATTGCTTTTATTACACAAGGTGTCACCATGAGTTGGATGTGATTCAATAGCAGCTCTTCTACTTTATGCTTCTTAAATAAGGATGCGCTCTGCCAGACCAAAGGCAGGCAGTTTGAATCCACCAGCTACTTCATGGGAGAAAGATGGGCAATCTCTTCCAGTATGATTTACCATCTCTGAAAATCTACTGGAGGATCTGACTTAGTGGTAATAGACTTTTTACACTTAAATGTATAGTATTTTCTGTCCTTTATACTGCAAAATTCATAATTTTACATAAGTCCAGAGGGCCAAATCTTTAAGAATGTAAAATATAAGCTATGTGAGTCAGGTACTTAAAATGTCAGTCTTACTTACCATCCTCTAATGACTTTTATGAGAATCACTGGAGAGAGAGTCCAAGAGCTACAATCCTTGACATCACTGAAAACTTCAATGCAGTCCTCAGAGGCCTCTGGTTCACTATATATTACTACCTGCAAGAAAATGGGAATGCCAGTGCATCTTGTGTACTTCATTAACCCAAAAGAAAACATAGAGTAGGAATTGAAAATAACCTTTACCTTGCCAGGTCGGGGATTGATTTTATTGTGGATACTTCCTCTAAGGGCCTGTAATCAGATGAACAAGATATAAAAAATAAGTACAACTTTGCATAGCAATCCCTTTTTCTCCTTACCATTGTCTTTCAGTAAGATATCTACCTTACAGTTTATCAGCCGAAAAAGCACGTCACTTTGATCAATGCCAGAGTTATATTAAAACTTTCTTTAAGCTTTTAACTGCTAAGAGCAGAGATATTTCTTTTCCTAGCTGAATTTGTCATTTCAATTTCTCCTCATTTAATTGTCTAGACTATTTCACATTTACTAGAAAATTCAGGGTCTCAAATTTAGATCCATGTTTTATGGTGGTTTACAGAACAAGATCCCAAGTAATTTCAAAGCTGTCTTAAATAAGGTATAATGTATTAATCATTTATCTAGACTGAGCTGAATCAACTATCTGTTCACGTACACACTTTTTCTGAATCTATGTTTTTTTCCATAGTAATATCTACCATGATATAACAAGTACTAATCTACAAAAAGACTTCAGGAAGTAGTAACCGGGATAGTAAGAGCTTAAGAGTAGTTATCTAAGATACAACTATAGTCTCTCCCTGTCTAGAGTAGAGAAGAACTAAGAAAAGCAAAAACTCAAGAAAATGATCTCAAAGGATTACTGAACCATCTGAAAATAGCCTTTTGAACAATAGCTTTCTGAACTTATAACCACCTAAACTACAGGCTTCACTACTCAAAGATCAGAAAAACTGGACCACCAATGACTATTCTGACCAGTATCACAATAGAAAATCTTTGACAAAGGTGGGGGGGTAGAGTTGGAAATCAGAAGTTAAAAAACATAAAAAGGAATTACTGGTTTGATAGAGAATACTGGAATTCCTGAAAGTATGACCTTTCAACACCCTTCAAGCCTGAAACTGCACCCACCTCCTTGTATTAACCTCCAACCTAGAACTGGGCAGGCCTCTAAAAGAGATAATAACACCAGGGAGGAATGTATTCTTCAGTACAATTAATGGTATGACTGAAAGGGCAGCATTTGGCCATAACCAATGCTCAGAAATCATTAAGGGGCAGGAAGAAGGACAAATGGGGAGAGGGGAGTGGCATACTTCAGAATGTGCTTTGCATATGGTAGACTTAGTCCCCTTTTTGATCAGTAAAAGACATCTTTATATGGTTCAAAATGCACCATTTTCAAGAGCGTCTGACAAGACCAGTAAGACCAGAAATGCATACTACAATAAAATACTAATTATACATGTGAAAATATTGCAAAACTTGGACTATTTTCAATGTTGTCCAAGATGCCTTGCCTATGGACTGCCTTTGATCTGATTACTCTTCACAGCTTGCATTACACAGCCGTGGAATGTGTCCAAAAGACCAACGGAAAGCTGCCCTAGACCATTATTCAGAATCCAGATAATGTACTCCAGCAGAAGTAGATAAGAAGAAAAGCCTGAAATGTCAAATAAAATTTATGCCAAGGATACGGTTTTAAGGACAGAATGGTTAGATAATCACCAAAGTCTATAATTTGAATCTTTTAAGTCTTATAAAAGTATAAAGTACTTTGGTTCTTTTTATGCTACTTGGCTTGGTTTTAAAGGGATTCCAGAAAAAATTTGGTATATTCTGCTATTAGACTCAGTGAACAAAAAAGAATCTAGCAAATTATTGAAATTTTGAAAGAAATACCTAAGAACTTCACATTTCTGAGATCTATGGGCTGATTTCATATTCTCTATTTATATCACATGGTCCTTAGAGTGTACTGAAGATTTTAGGGATCCCAAGATGCTTTCAGGATCTGTGAGGTCAAAACTAATTTCATAGCAACAGAGGTAATTTACTCATTTCACTCTCTCACAAGTACACACAGTGGAGTTATCCAGAAGTTCTGGGACTTGCACTACAGTCTTGATGGTTGATATATGTGGGCTTGTACTTTTGTTTTTAAATGTTTCTGTGTTAACTTCTCTTTTCAAGAAGAAAAGAGACAGAAAAATGAACGAATGGCTCAACATCAAAAACATGAAAATCAAATGCGGGATCTTCAGTTGCAGTGTGAAGCCAACGTCCACGAGCTGCATCAGTTGCAGAATGAAAAATGTCATCTGTTGGTTGAGCATGAGACTCAGAAACTAAAAGAATTAGATGAAGAACACAGCCAAGAATTAAAGGAGTGGAGAGAGAAATTGAGACCTAGGAAAAAGACATTGGAAGAAGAGTTTGCCAGGAAACTGC